TTTCCTCAGAGTATGGCCAGCCAATCCATCTCCATTTCTTCCTGCCTATTTGTTGCACAGTCGGTTCCTGGTTGGTTCGCTCATCGTCAGAGATCTCTGTTGCTGATCTTTTCTAGCCGGCCGGCCATCTGATCTTGAGTATTGAGCGAAGACAACTGTTAATGAAGGTCTGTAGTTTGTTTGAGATGGTCTTTATGACGCGCAGTGCAAGTCTCTGATCCGTATAGTAAGTAGCACTGATTTCACATTGGAGTTGAAAATCCGGATGTTATTTTTGATGCTGAGTGCTGTTGACCTCCACACAGACTTGAGAAAGAATAAAACTAGGTGGCAGTTATAGTTAATCATTAGTCCAACTTTGTTTTAACTAATCCAGATGCACTTGGGGAATAACTTACTTCATTTCTGTCGTTATTTGGTTGGTGTGGTGACTGGCAGTTTTAGTCGAGGATTCGCATTTCATCCCATTCGAGGTTTGTCAGCTAGACACACCTGCTTTAATAATAAAAAGTTCTGAGTTCAACTCCCAGTAGGGATGTAGGTGCATTCATTTGACCAGTCTTAAAAAAGACGAAAAGTGTTTCATGGATCTCATGGTTAGCCATCATCAAAACAAGCAAAATCATGTCCATATCAGGGTGCTGTCGAAGCATTCGTATCAGGCGTGGGTAGGCTAAGATAAATTTAACATTAACAAATGATCATCTTTTATATCATAAATTCATAATCATACCTGTGATTATGGATTCTTAATGCCTACCGGCTTACACTAAATCGGATCCCATTCTGAATGACTGGTTTCAACGTAGAACTTTTCACAGAAGTACAGCAATTCGAGTTGCTGCTCTCCGTGTAGCACACAACCGAAGACAAAAGAGAAAAAAATCGATTCGGAAGAATAATAATAATCAGCAGTGAGAGGGAGAAAGAATAATAACGCGGAAAAACAACAGGACCATTAGGGAACGATTTTGAGTTATATCACCAATTTTCTCTACTCATGGATTCTCACCATCCCGAGGAAGCCAACCGGTCAGTAAGTCTGCACATCCCTACGTGACCAGCTTAAACTAACTGTTGTGGATTTCATTGACTGATGAGGTCATGTTTTGGTTTAACCACCACTGGCTGTTTACCAACCTGATTCATCCTTTATCAGTTAGCTAACAATTCCCGTTGTCGAGGAAGGCGATCAATGGCTAGACATGCGTCACACATGTCCTAGCCATTGGAACTGATGTAACTTCACATCCTTTTCGGTTGACTTTCTCTCTCTACGTAACATACGATGCTTAACCTCAATATTATTCACTCTGTTATACCACCTAACACACACGGGTGATAGAATGCTGACAGTTATGATTAAAGACGGCTAGCCTTTTCATTTTTTCCACTTCCTCTGGCCATAACTTGCAGCCATGAAGGAGGATATAGTGAAGTGTTGAACAGTACACACGTTCTTTGATCGATAGCCAGTCGGATATCACGTGTGCGCCTGAGATGGCGTAAGTTAGCAAAGCCCACAAGAGTCTTCTCTTTCCGAGCTAAGATTTTGTCAACGATCAATCTGTTGGGGCTGGTATCACTACAATTCAATCCTAGAGATGAAAAGTGTGGAAGAATGAGCAGTGTATCAAGCGCTTTTAAGAAGTGGTTCACTTGTAGTTTAGCAGTCAGTCAGTAGAACGAAGGGAAGGAGGGTGAATATTCAAAGGAATTCACCGCTTGGTGATTTTGCCAATAATAAAGGACATTCACCTCCTTGTTTCACTGCCAGCATAGCCTACAAATGAAACTGTGGTGATTTCTCTACCTCGAACTGGGTAATTTTCAAGTGATGAGGTCGTGATTCCAAGTATTATCAGTTTCCTCCAAGTAGCCAACTAGAATTTGGCTGGTCTGAACCTAATTTTTACCGTCTCAACTGAGTCAAACGGAATATACTGCTGATGAGCTCAACTTCAAACGAGAGAAACGACCGCCCTTTGCCTAGACCACTTCCATCTGCCTGGTGGGCGAGCACCACTATTTGACATGAGTGATTCCCAACTACTTATTTCAAACAATTAGTAGCGCACAGTATCTTCGAAGCGTTGTCAAAGAACGACTAGAATTTTGAAAGAAACTACATTAACGGTGTGAATAATTAACACTACTATTGTAGCCACATATGAAAAGAGATGAAACTGTAAATTAAATAATGAGTTAAGAAAACCAACTGCAGGTTTAGATAAAGAACTTCCATCAGTTTGAGAATCAATAAAAACTTGGGAGTACAGGACCCCTGCTTCGTCCCAACTTGGGACTCTTCGTCAGTACGTATAGCGGATAGAATACAATAACTTCAGATAACGAGTAGCATTTGTTTATCATCCAGCCAGAGGAGCAATACCCAATGTTACTACAAAAAATAGTACATACTTGACCAATGAGACAAAGGAGTGATACATTCAAGTGAACCAAAATATCAAGTAACAAAGTTATTTGATTACAAATTACTTTTAACCATGTGTTCATCAACCAATTCCACTTGTTTCGAAGTTATAAGACAGTATGAAAATGTATCAGCCATTATACTCACTCTTGAATAAGAAGGATATTCAAATTATTTCCTATACCATAACAAAAATTGTAATGAAAGTGGTTACAGGAATTCATCATAAGCTGACATCGGTTAGAGAACCATTGGAAAACCGGCTGGGATTACTGGACAGCTGTTTCGTCCTAGTTTGTTACTCTTCATCAGCACGCGACCACACCGTGGGAGTTCGAACTCAGGACCTTCTGGTTACAAGGCCAGCTCGTATACCATCAAGCCACTGGGACTCAATCCAATGGCCCATCAATTCCAACTTCTGCCTATTCATGAAATAGCGTGAGTATGTGTCCTCGCGTCCTACCTGGCGGGTGCGTACTAATGAAGAGTCATTAACTAGAATGAAACAGTTGCCCAGTATTCCCAGCTGGTCTTCCAATAGTTCTCTAACCGATGTCAGCTCATGATGAAATACTCTAACCAATCAATCGAATCCCTACAAATCAGTATTTGAATTGTAATGAAAGCCTAAGGTTTAACAAAAACGTGGTAAACTGAATGTCAAACATTGTCAAAAGTAGCTTTTTTGCTTTTGAAATGAGTCCATAGATTTATAAAGGACAAGACTGCCTACTATCGCCAATGATTTTCCTGATTGCAGCAGACTGAATAATGCGACAAACAGCGGGCAATGAGGAAACAGGCACAAAATGGACTCACACAAAAACTTGGAGGATCTGGACTTCGCCGATGATGACATATGTCTGATTTCCCAGAAACTGGAAGATATGCAAATGAAAAGCAACAAGTTGGCAGAAGAAGCATCAAAGATAGGAAGGACTTCAGGTGAACATAGAGAAAACAGAGATAATGAAGATTCCAGGATGAAAACAACAACAACTGACAACAATCAGCTTAAATGGGAGGAACCTGAAAGATAGAACCTCTTTTACCTACCTGGGAAGCATCGTTTCAACTACAGGCGAACGGAACTGACGAGGATATTAAAGCAAGAATCGGAAAAGCAAGACAAGCTTTCACTACTCTCAAGTCTGTGTGGAGGTCAGCAACACTCAGAATCAAAAATAAGATCCGGATTTTCAACTCCAATGTGAAATCAGTGCTATCTACTATACGGATCAGAGACTTGCACTGCGCGTCATGAAGGGCACCTCAAACAAACTACAGACCTTCATTAACAGTTGTCTTCGCTCAATACTCAAGATCAGATGGCCGCTGGAAAGAATCACCAACAAGAAACTATGGGAACAAACAAAACAAGAACCAATCGCCAAACAAATATGCAGGAGAAAGTGGAGATGGATTGGACACTCGCTGAGGAGGCCGTTGGGTCACATCGTGCGTCAGGCCATCGCTCGAGTGAAACCCGGAAGGGAAGCGGCGAGTGGGACGTCCAAGGGTGACATGGAGGAGATCGTGTGAAGAGGAGTTGAAACAGTATGGATTGACATGGATGCAAGTGAAAAGTACGGCAGAAGACAGAAGCAAGTGGAGGCGTGCAGTTGAAGCCCTATGTTCCACTAGGAACCCAAGGAAACAATAATAATAATAAATAGAAGCCGATTTTCATCCAGCTTGTCTTCAAAAGGGATGATACTTAAGAATGATAAATAAGTGCTCAAGTATAGCAATGATCAGGACGTATCTGGAAGCAAAAGTAGTCTCCCTACTCCAAACACCCAACTGCGGGAGCAGTTACATTGGGAGAACAGAAAGAAGGGCTTGTGTCAGATTCCTTGGACACCTTGTACCAAAGAACCTTCAATTAAAGGGACCGAATAGTTTATATTTGTCAAATTTATGAAGGGAAATTCGTGTATTGAACTTTTTTAGTCTCCTGTCAACTGACGTTATACCACTTTTGCAAGTACATTCAAAAATTTCTCTGTACACTTTCATGAATTATTTTTGTAAAGCTGCACGCAGTTGATGAGGATTGGACGATATATCACATCTCATTCTGTAAAAACCGTTATTTATTTTTGCTTTATTCAAATTCATAGAGGGGAATTAGTGTATGATGCAGTAACTAAACTTTATTTAACGAAGCTTTAAATCGGTCTGTTACCAGTGACCTCATTTTATTTATTTTCGTCAAAATTTACTTCTCCTTACATGCACAGAGAAAAATAGTTAAATTTCTATAGAGACAGTAAAATTACATAATTGTTTTTTTCATATTTTGCACTCTAGTTATCTGATTGCATTGGTTACTTTCCTTAGGAGGCAGGCATTTGGGAGTGCATTGTGCTTCACCACAATAGTCATCACTCCTTCTATATAACATAACTCTGATTGCTGATTGGTTGAAATATCAGTACATATATTTATTTCAGCCAATTATATTTTAGGTACTGTTATATTTTGCCTTGGTAATCAACCTTCTCTACACTTCTCATTGGCTGATTTCTACTTTTCTGAAATAAGATCGATAAATTTGTATCTAAGTTGGTGTGTATGTGTGTGCATATCTATGCATTCTGTGGGGATAATTCACCCTATGTATGTATCACTGCTAAGAAAAGGAAATTTTAATTCATCACTGACAGCAGCACCTGGAGCAGCAGTAATAACAATAACGGCACTAAATAAGAATATGTCAACTCAGTTATTTTTACTTTTTACATCAATAACTTTTATCTATGCCTGGCAAAATGATGCCAATTCTTACAACAGTTATTCTTCACCTTCATCTAGTCAACAACAAGCTTCAGTTATCCAAGAAGACATAGAAGCTGAGTGTCAAAAATGCGATCAAAAGAAATGTCCACCGATAACTCAATGCAATGTCGGTATTGTACGTGATAAATGTGGATGTTGTGATATTTGTGCACTCGAAGAAGCTCAGCTGTGTAATATTCCACAAGATTTTCAAAATGGTGTCCTAAAATCAGGTATTACATGGCATGGGATCTGTGGGACAGATATGGAGTGTCGTACACGCACAGATATTGACTCAAAAGTCATAGGATCACAAAGTATTTGTTATTGTGTTAAACCGGGTAAAGTATGCGGTTCTGATGGTGTCACATATTCAAAGTGTAAAATGAATGCAACTATCACTGCGTCAAATGGTAAGATCACTGCGTTGAGCGAAGGACCTTGTCAAACTGGTAAGTGATATTCAGAAATACTTTTTCTTATTTTAATGAACGAAATATTCCTATATTGAGTCATAAGAAAAAGGCACAAACAGCGAAGAAAATTTTCTTTTCGACGATTCATTTTCATGAGCTGTACAATCGTAATTATAATTAACAAAGAAATCTTTAGACCAATCAGATACTGGTAAATTTTTGTCCTTGGAAAATTGTATTACATAATGTAAGGTGTAAGAAGGGATGACTAATTGTAAGTTAGAAAGGAGACAGAAGTTGGCATGACGTAATAAGTGTGAGATAGTGAATAATCAATAAGCTCGTGTGGAATGGACAGGAACTAGTGGAAAGGCTATAAAGTGTTTTTGTATAAAATATGTATGAAAAACAATGTTATTAATAAACAGTAATAGAGTGGTAATAAAATGTGGATGATGGGGACAAAATGATGATAATAAAAGTATTAATAAAATAAAAATAATAATAATGGTAATAATAGTGAACTTACATAATAAAGGAAAGAAGCAAAATTGTGATAAGAAATTTTACTCTGGCCATGGTAAGGCAAGAGAATGTATGTATCGCTTTTGTATGCAGAGGTCCGGTTTTAGATCTCGAATAGCTAATGCTTCAGCTATGTACAGATGGCGAATCCGAAGTCCCTTTTTACGGTATTGAGGGACTCTGTGTAACACTGTGAAGCAATCATGTGGGGGTGCTTACTTACAATTAGTCATCCCTTCTTACACCTTACATTATGTAATACAATTTTCCAAGGACAAAAATTTACCAGTATCTGATTGGTCTAAAAATTTCTTTGTTAATTATAATTACGATTGTACAGCTCATGAAAATGAATCGTCGAAAAGAAAATTTTCTTCGCTGTTTGTGCTTTTTCTTATTTTTCTTATTTTGACAAATGTTTTTCGTGCCCTGTAAAAGTAAGGCAAGTGAGTAGTAGTCACTAATCGATAATATTGATTAAGGACAATTTTATACCAAAGAAGTTTGTGAAAACTGTACCATTGATATTGACTTTGGTTTAAGTCTTTGGCAAAGAATTCTGAAGAACCGGTATCTAGATTAATGCAGTTGATTTTCAGTGACTCATCAAGTAGTACTGATTTGTAACTAAATCCCCTTCGATAAATCATATTTTTGATGGGAGGCTGTCTGACGTAGTCTTGGGTCTGCGGATTGTTATTGAGGTAAGGGCTGATGGTTAAAAGCGATATGAAAGTGTGAATCCTAAATTATCGATCGGCTGATGTACCAGCTAAGCCACGAGATCCATCTGCCAGCGGCGTCATCATTTCACTGCAGTCACCACAGGTAGTGTCTAGCTATCATGTGAAGAAATGATGCGTTACTGTCTGTTTATTTTCACACTAGCTTTCTAGGCAGATATCGCGTACTAGTTTGAATAAGACTAACAGGAGTAGACGCAACCGGGCAGCTAGTTTGATTATAAACATAAAAGACATATAAACGAACAATATTGTTGTTTTCAATTAGATCTTCTTCAGGCTTTACTTTAATTTACATAGATTTATGTGTAAAAATGTTAACCAATGACGGTGATTTTGTGGATCAAATAATAATAATAATAATAATAATAATAATAATAATGTGGTAAATGCTTTGAACGTCGTTAATGACGATGATTATAATGATAACAAAATATTGATAATAAAGTTTATGCAGGTGGCAATAAGAAAAACAAAGGCAGTAATTTGTGTATTTATAGACAATTCAATAAATAAATAAGTTAGGTCAAATCTTAAAAGCTACGTAATACTAAAGGTGAGATGGACAGATAATCATAAAAGTACGAAGGAGATGGGAAATAAGAAAGGGTGGGAGGGTTTCGATTAGAATTCACCTAGGCCAGGCAAGGGAGAGGCAAAGTTAGAACAAACTTCTTTTGTATGCACAGACTAGGATTGTTTTCTCGAATTAATTCCCATAGCTTCGGTTACATGTAAAGGACGAGTTCGAACTCAGTTCGAAAGGCTCGATGGAATGTAATAGATAACTTTGAAGGCACTATTTTTGTCCACTTGGTGACTAATATCAATCAAATGAGCCAAAATAGAACTTCGTATAGATTTTACTTGACCTTTTCCGAACCATGAGGGAAGATGCTCATTAATGCGTTTGTTAAGCTACCTACTTGTTCGCCCTATATAGCTCTCTCCACAGGAGCAACTAAATTTATGGATACACATAGAAGTGGCACAGCTAGGTAGCTTATCTTTCACTTGAGCAATCATAATTGGTCGGCTGTAAAATGACAAACAAAGGGTGGCGGCAGTATAAGTCCGTTTTATCGCTCTCGATAATCTCAGATGTAAGACTTCACTAGCCACGTGCCCATTAAATTGCAATTTCATGAACAGTTCTTTCTTTTTAACCACTGTCAGTTTCTCTTTATTTTACCTGGTGTTCATGTGTCTCCTTGCAAATCTACTGGGATAACCCATTTGGACTAGCGTATTTTGGATGTATCCTAACTCATTTTCTAGGTAGTCATCTGTACAGATACGTCTTGCTCTATTCGTGAGGCATCTGACCAAATTGATTTTGTATCAGATTGGTAATAAACTGAGGAAATGTGTATATTGTCCTATACAGCAACGCATCATTCCCTTCCATGACAGCTGAGCATTATCCATGGTGATGATTGAAATTACATGATGACGTGATTAGCGAGTGTGTCTCTTAAGTCAGTTGGTGGATCACCGGCCTAATAATTCGGAGACCTCGGGTTCGAATCCTGTCACCACCCAAATTTACATTACACTATATTCGCTGAGACATTAGCGATTACATAAGTCATATTTGATTGTGTATTCTCTACAGTTGGGTGTGATTTACATTAACTGTGATCCAATACTTGTTGTCTAAAGGTGTAAGTTGGAAGTTCCACGGTAGAATTAATGTATTTGATCAAAGTATTATTTATTATTATTTATTTATTATTTATTTATTTATTGATAACCTTTCGAGCGCAATTTATTGCTGCTTATAATCATATTAAGGCACTCGGATGACTTTCAAACTTCGTTTGTATAATTCCACCCTTCCTTATACTTTGATTTTATTGGTTGTAATGTTTTCTACATCTCTGGTATTGGTGTTGTGTTGTTTCTATTGCACGTGTTATGGTGTGTAGATTCGATGAACAAAGTTTCTGTGATCAGTCTGTCTCGCCACCTACAAATATTAATTTTTAGAACTGTGGCTGTTTCCTATCCTACTGTGCAATTGTGCATTCATGCATACATTGTGATTACTTAGTTTTTCTTTGCACTATTCATCATTTGATGAGGTCAGTCATTCTATACTGGCTGGCTGTCTGGATTCAACATAGAACTTGGCACTGAAGTGCACCAGTTCGAGTTGCCACCTTCCAAAGAGCACACAAGGGTAAGCAACAAGATGAGTGAAAAGAATCAATAGAGTTTTGACAAGTATAAGAGTGAAACAGAATGAGTAATGGTAGAAAGGAATATGAAAGATAAGAGAGACTGAATACATCTGCGTAAGCCATTGACAACGATTTTCAGCCATGTCACGTATTGTCTCCAGCCATTGATTCTTAGAGTCCCGAGGGCGGGCCCCAACCCGGAAGTCTGCATCTCCCTACCTGACTCAGTTTAACTGTCAAGGATTTCATGGATTGATGAGGCCATGTTTTTGTTTGGCCACCACTTACTCTTTTCCAACATGCACCTATATCAGCTAGTAATGCCCGTCCGTCGGGGGAGGCGATGGTTAGGCATGCGCAGCACGTGACTTAGCCATCTCAATCTATGTAACTTAAGAGCCTCTTCGATTGATTTTCTCTCTTTGCCCAACACTCTACGCCTAACGTCAACATTACTTACCTTATTATGCCTCCTAACGTGAGAAAGAGATCGTAGACATCTATGATCAAAAACAGTCAACCTTTTCATGTCTTCCGCTCTCAATGGCCACGTCTAATAGCCATAAAGAAGGACAGAGCGAACTGCTGAGCCGTACACACGTCCCTTGGTTGATAGCCGGATGTCACGCCTACGCCAGAGACGGTGTAAGTTAGCGAAAGCAGCCCGAGCTTTTTGGATCCGTTCTGAGATTTCATCACCAATCAATCCGTTGGTGCCATTCTATACTTAGCCGAATTCTTATGCTCAAACAATCTGACGACCCAATTTATTGGTTTGACCTATGTAGTAGACATCATAGCCATTGCAAGGTAGAAAAATTTGGAATTGAACTCCTCTGCTAAGAATATTTATGCTATTGGAGAAAATAATCAGTCCAACAAAGGAAATCCTTTCGAAAAACTGTACCATCATTACAGAATGGCATATATTATTTGCTGATATGAGCATCTAAAAACTTCTCAGATGAACCAGTAATGTTTACCAGCCTAATCTCATTGATCTAGACATTGGAGGGACAATTTTTTACTTTTGGAGATAAACGCATCAAAGCATATGGCAAGAATAACTCAGATAAGAGATGACTGAGTCAGTTCGAAACGTGCCTAATTCAGTAACAGTCCAGGAGATCAGTCAGTTACAGTTACTTGAATGAATTGACGCTTATTTTCCTGTTGTTCTTAACTCGAATTACCATTCATGATTGTTGTGTGGCCAATCTATCCTTCGACGTTTGTCCTTTAGCCCCCCAAATATCTGACTCCTTAGTCTGGCCTTCTTTAACCTGGTAGAAAGCCTGCTGTTTTCACCACTCCGTCTGATGAAGGCGGAATAGAATACTTTATCCTGCCCAAGGATGTATTTAGTTAATTTTAGTATTGAGAGAGTCGTAATTACAACACAAGGCAGTTAACGCACTCTTTGTTCCTTGAAAATCCACTTGTCCGCAATATGTCTTCCTCGCACACCATCAGTACAGATAAACAAATTCATCTTTGTGGGTGAACTGTCTGAAGGTGGAATGAATTCATGAATTACTTTAATCCCCTACAATATATTACCATTTTATAACTTTGTTGCCTCCTT